ATATATATATATAAGGTGTTTTAAACCCTTCCCACACTCTTGCAAGATTCTAAATGAAGTTTCTAAACTCTAAATGCCCTAAAAGAGCACAAAATGTCATGATTTCAGCTCTGTGCCTCAGCTGCACTCAGCCACCTGCAAGCGCTCTAGGCCACGCCCACTTTGCATGTTCTGCATGGAGATCAGCTGATCAGCTGCAGCAGGAAGTTTATCCTGCAGTGTGGGCTGCACAAAGCTGTAGGAGGTGGTAAATACTTTAAAATAATTTATTTTAAATAAAAATCCCATGCCGATCGTGCGTCTCATCCATCAATCAGCCAATATGTGTAGTGCCCATGTCTTGTTTTGAAAAACCACAATAGAGCGAGTCGTGATAAACGAACCACAAAGTAGCGAGGGACTACAGTAATTACATATTTTATTTTGTATGTTTAAAGGCATCAGTTTCTGACTCATTTGTATCGTTCCTGGTGGTGTAAATCTTTGAGCTATCCTGGGGTTTGTGACTGGGGTTCCTGTCACATTATAACATTTTGTACAACTTATGCTGACGTATGAACATTTTGCCCACCACGCTGACATACGCTGAGTATGGAATAAAACAATCAACTGGAAGCCTCTTTTGGACATATACGTACCATATTGCTAATGCGTTGAACAGTATATAACCTTTGCTTAATATATGAGTAACTTATCCACAACTTGTCCCTAGTGCGTATATAACTTTTACAAGAGTATGACAGAATGTTTGACTTATGCAAACCTTATGCATGTTAGTGTAAATTATGCTACTTATGACATCGTATATCAGCATGCTGGAAACTTTATTAAACTTAGACCTAACTTATGCGACGTACATGAGCTTTGCCATTTTTTTCATGCACTGGCAACGCTGAGGCTATACGTCACTGTGTGACAGCCTCTTTGGGTAAAGCTAGACCAGATCATCTGCAGGGTTCATGTTGGTCTGCCAGGATGTGCACAGCACAAACTGAGACGATATGCTGACTCAAATCACAGGAGTTTGGATGCAAATAGAGTTGTGACACATTTAGGTAAGCTTCTTAATCTTTGGTCAGATCGTTCCCACCTTTGGCAAGGACACAACCTCCTGCTGCAGATATACAGTCTCTGCTGACTGAACAGAAATCTTGATTTAGTTTATTCTACTGTGTAATAACAGTAATGGTTAAGTGTTTGTACAGTTTTTTATATTAAGAAGGTAAATCAAGGCTGAACGAAACACTCAAATCTAAAAAAATATCTACCCTCAGGGGATATTTTTAAAGCTTCACCCATTTACAACCAGACAAGTTTACAAGTTTATTTACTGTAAAATTTCTATAAAATGCAACCCTACTCAAGAACTTTTGAGACTTGAGCTTTTCAAATTGTTTGTTGAACATGTTCCACGCCTTTCAAATCAATAATCTATATTATTTATGAATTTGTAAGGCCTAATTTTTCACAATCCCTCTGTGGTGTTCTGACCTTTCTGAGCAGCAGGCCGTGGGAAATGTTCTCTGACAACATGAAACCCGACACCAGGTGGTGGATCGGCCCGGCTTCACCACAGTGAGGTCGCAGCACAAACGTATGGAAGCCCCGTCGCCTGGGGAAACAAACCAAAGCAAGCATAAAAACAAGAAAACAGACATGTGTGAATTATTTGCCGTAATGAATAGATGAAACTTTTTCCCCTCTGAAGAGCGACATTTCTGTGTCTGCTGTCAAGACTTTACCTTCGCAGGTGGTTCAGAACAGTCATGTTGGCGTAGGTGTAGTAGAGGTAGTACGAGTATGGCGGGTTGTCCTCTTCGGTCCAGTCAGGTGGCAGCGGACTGTCAAGATTGAAAATGTGATGTTCTGGTTTGGACTCATCGTCGACACTGTCAAAGCCCACCACCTGATAACACAACAACGGTCAGCTCAGTCCTCGGATGTGGGTCACGGAGATATTACTTCCTGTGACCTCGCACACTCACGTGCTCCAGGAAGAGATGCAGCTCAGGATGACTGCGGGGGTTGATCGTGACTTCAAACAGAGGCATGAAGATGTTCTCCAGCATCTCCTGGAAATTAGCCAGCTGCTTCTTTGTGTGGTACACGTCACTGGAAAAGTCAGCAGTGAGTGAAAACTGTCGTCGTCATCGAAGTTCTTATTCTGGACGCGATATATCAAACTTGATTCATGTGTGGAGATGCATACGTACAACAGGCGGGGCACTTGGATGAGCCAGCGCACGTTATCAGAGTAAACTCTGTACTGGACGGCCCACTGAGCCAGCTTGTCCCACTCGTCTCGGGAGCGGCCATAGATAGAGAGTCGTAACTCTGAGTTTTGATATTTGCTCTCCTCCAAATCAGACATCACCTCCTGCACAAAATTAAGACAGCAGAGTTGGAAAAGTTTGTATTTAGGAGTATTTTAGATGAGTTAGACACTTGGTGTTACCTTAACAATATGTGCAAAGTATTTTCCTTCAACGTAATTGTCTGTCTTGATGAAGATCTCCCTGAGGATGGACTCTCCGATGGGGTTGTATTTGGAATTGAACTTATCAAACCGATGAAACGTGTTTCGGTCCTGATAAGTAAATAAACAAACAGGAAGCATTATTTTTATCTATAACAAATGACGTTTGTGTGATGTGAACATGCGTCCCGTTTATCTCACCGCGTGCATGTCGAGTGTGTCCACGCTCAGGTCGTACGCCGTCAGGTTCATGCTCTCAAAGACGTCTTTGAGGGTCTGGCCGTGCCCCCGCTCGACGTGAACGATCTCTTCGGGGTATTTCTTCATGGCTCTTTTAATGAATCGCAGCAGGTGCTTCTGGTTCATGCAGGATGAAGCATGTATGTGCGTGTCCACCTGGAGTGAAAAACAGCAGAGCCACTTAGGAAAAAAAAGGTGTCCTGTGATTTGCCTGATTAAAAACTAGGGATTTCTTTAGAACTCTGCAGATGTGAGTTCAACTTCACATTTATAAAATATATATTTTTTATATTCTTGCCTTTCTTATGTTGTAGAAGTCTCTGTGGGGAACCTTCTTCTGAGCTGCCAGCTCCTTCATCTCATTCAGCAGGATGTGCATCTGAAACTTGGAGCTCAGATACTGCAGGCGTCGGTAGCAGAAAGACTTCCTATAAACGTCATGAAGATGAGAAGATTAATTTGAACCAAACATAAACAACAAACCATCTGTTGTTTGACTCCATTAAGGTTACACTCACACTGGTCCGTTAATAATAAGGGACATCATAACATTCATGTCTGCGAGATACTCCTTCAGGTCAGGATACGGCAGGTCGAGCTCCATGCTTCTGAAAAGTTCAACAGCTTAAAGTTAATCAGATACTTTTTTTAAATCAGTTACTGATAAATCCTGTCACACTGAATATTATATTTCCCTTATATCGACAGTAAGCAAGAAAAATCACATTACTAAGAGAAAATATTCACATTTGCTAGACAATATTGATTTCTTAGTCCAAAAGCTCAATTTGCGTCAACATTGATATAATACCAACTGCAGTGCTCAATTAATACAAAATCAGCATTTTGTTTATTTTAATTAGTCTCTGTCCTGTTTATTGAAACTGGATGCAGATATTTAAAAAAAACACACTTGTCCATGTTGGTTTCCTTGGTGTAGACATGAACGACCCCGCCGACCATCTTGCAGCCGTATCCTGTGTCTGCTGGCATGCTGTCGGGGTCCTGATTGTCGTAAGGGTGAGTCTCTGAAACTGGGGGGTGAACAGGGGCATCTTGGAAAAACAGATGTTGGACAACAACAAAGTTTTAAAAGTAGTTTAATAAATGAAGGAGCAATTTATATACGTACTCAGAAAAATGTTTATTACTAAAAGATGCCTGTTCCTGTTAGAGCTAGACTTTTTTCCTTTTTTTATTACTTAGATAAAAATAATGACTTTAGAGTCTTAAGAACATCCAAACACACGTTTTGTGCTTTACATTCCCAGAAAATTTCATCTGTTTGACACAGTATTGGTAAAATCCTCAGCCATCGACAAATCTTTTTAAAGTTTAAACTAAATGTCTGTAGGAAAAAGAGGTTTATTGTGCGGTTACCTCAAGCTTAAACAAAACACAGAACGTTTGGACACCGTTCCAAAGACGATGAGGGGAAATTGACTTTTTTTTGACTCAGTCAAAGGAACTAAAACTAAAATTTGATTAAAAAAAAAAAGCAGTGAAGAGTAAAACAACCGCAGCCACACGCGTAACACTCAGAACTTCTGTTCGATTCTTTAAATAGATTACCGTTATTCTATCAATAATTACATTGTAAGTATTAAAACAACAAAATGTACCGGAGATATCAAATATGTTGACTCCATTTTTTGTCTAAATAAACGCTTGTAAGAAAAATCAATCAAAATAGACGAAGTGTGTGTTTTTTTTTTTTAGATATTTGTTTTATACTTTACTTTTTTTAAATATGCAAAGTTTGTGGCAATTTGCTTTTCTGCCCTGGAGCTTCCTAAATTCAAAACAATCTAAATTTAATCAAAAAGCAAAAACAACTCAAAGTATTCCTCGAGGCACAAAACAAGAATCTTTCTGGGTCGGACTGAAATGACTCTTGCAACAGGTTATTATTGAACAGTGTTTTCTAAATGCGTCTCTGTCTGTCCGTCCCTCCGTCCGTCTGTGTCTCTGTGTAACTTAGACTGTTTCACCTGCTCATCTTGGCTTAAAATAAAAAAATCATCAAAGTTTAACATTATCCTGTAATGCAACATTTACTTCTGTCACTTCAATAAATCCATTGACCCAAACAAATCAGACGTATTTATGAGTGGTTCTGTCGAGCCTGATCCAAACTGGATGTGTGCAGCTTTTACCAGCATCTACAGGCGTCTCTGCTTCTTCATCGTAGACTCCCAGATCCAGAGGTTTCGTCCTGAGATCCTGTAGCTCGTGAGCTGTGGTCTTACAAAACGTCTGCATGGAGCGGTTTATGTACTTCTCCCGGATCAATAAAGCCTTCACCACACACTTGGCTGCATCTACGAGGTCAGTGAAGGGCACCTGGAAATGCATCGGCACACAGAAACAAAGAAACGGATGAAAACTCATTTTACTTTTCAAACTATTTCATTTGTTTGTTTGTTTTTTAAGATTCTTACCCCACATTTTTCTTCTCCAGATATCGACACCCGCTGGTACTCTCTCTCCAGCGGCATCTTATTCTCCTTAAAGCCAACGTCAACAACATCCACGTTTTTGTCTGTCATTGATCTGGCACACACGCAGAAAAGAGTTAAAAATAATAATACGGGAGCATACGCAGAAGAAATGTTCACTTAAAGATGGAAAACGAGTTGAAAATAGTTATTTTATCAGATCTTATGAGTTCATTGTTTTTAAATGTGTCAAAAAGCTTTCATCTTAAAATAATACACGTTTAAAGCTGATTTTGTTTATTTTACTGTATAACGTATTATTTATGACTAAACATTCTTTGTAATAAAAGATCAAATCTGTAAGAATGCAGAAGTTTCTAACAAGAATCAGAGCTCAAGTAAAAGTGAATCAGTTATAATTTTGTATCATTTTGTTTGTGTATCAAGACAAATAATTGATCTTGTTTAGTCGAGTAATAATCCTAAACTCTGCTGGATTACAGACAAACAGAAAACTTTAACAGAATTTCAATGATTTTCATCGAAACTCTTGTTGGAGTGGACATTCTTAGACTTTTTCAGCACTTTCTGCTGCTACTTTTTGTATTTTACAATTAATTTCTTTATGTTGATAAATACATTAATTAGCTTCACTGTATCTTTTACACCGACATACACTGTAAACTCAAACTGACAAGAATGAAACCCTCTGCCTGATATCATGAGGCCTCGGGCTCTGATCAGCTGAAGACTCAGGACATCCTAGCAGCAGATCCTTCAGGTCCTGCTTGCAGCGATGTGGGGTCTTCTCCAGTTTTTCTTTATATTAAGTGAACACCTCAGCAGCTGAAGCAAACTGATGTGGAGAACTTGGAGGCCAAATCAACACCTTGAAGTATTTTTTCTCAAATCAATGAGTTTTTGCAGCAGAACGGCCACTTGCTTATGTGGTCAGAAAAAACAAAAAGTTTATACAGCTCCAGAATTCACATTTGTTTCAGTAAAACATGCTGAAACATTTCGTGGTTTTATATTTTTATTTGCCGCCACTTCTTCTACATTAAATTAGACTCACAAACCTGATTGCCAAAGTAACATGGTGTGCTTCCTTTAATTGATATATGGTTTATATTTGTTGGGCTCTGATCTGTTTGTTTTTGCTTGTAAAGTTTTTATCAGATGCACAACTAAAACTCCTCAGTGAAACTAGATCTTACCAGACTTCACTAAAGCGGTACTTTCTTCGGTGACATTTAGTTTTTACTTCAATGCTAAAATATTTTCCTCTTTCTAAATCATGAACTCCAACAAGTCAATTCTTTTGCTTTCTAAAACAAGCCATTACAAAACAAGATTACTTACAGATATTTCTCTATAGGCATCAATATCCTTTATTTTTGTAATAAATGATTTTCGCCTTCATTGAATAGAAATCAACAAGTTTAGACAGGAAAGAAGTGAGAGGATAGAAAAAACTTAAGATGATGCATTCATGCAGCATGCGCTTCAATATTCTTTCACTATCATTTTTTTTTTTTTGATGATTCGTCAAAAGAATAAAACAGAAAATATCTAAAACAGTGTTATGCCAACATGAATGAAGTAAAGTATGAATAATTTTGTAGTAATCACAATCTTTGCCAAGTCACAGTTAAAAATGAACTTTGAGCACAATTTTTATCTGAAGAAATTGTTTTTTTTTTTAAGGAAATAAACAGCAAAATATACAGGTTGTACAATTGTCAAACCACCAGCAGGGGGCAGATGTGGTCCATCTCATCAGGATGACAATGTCCATCAGAAGTTTTAGAGATTATAATTTAAACCAAACCAGAGCTTTTGATAAATGTACAGAAATTAAGGCAAAAAGTCTGCTAAGTATAGAAGCAAGCAAAACAGAACTGAATGCTCTGAAGAAATAATAGTAAGGGGGGAAAACATGCATACGGCAGAGATAACTCACTCTAGGTCTGCAGCACTGTCGATTTTCATGAAGTCCTGTTTGGCACGGAGCAAGATCTCTGGCTCAAGCCTTGGGGTGATATGCAGAGGCGCAGGATAGAGTGGGCAAGGCAGAGAAGATGGGCACCACAGGTAGGAAAAAGAAATTGAGCACACAAAAAGGAGAGAGACACCAAAACAACAAAAAAAAGCACAGACAGGCCCACTCACTCACGCACGCAAGTACATTCATGTGGACACAAGGAATCTCAAAGTGATGGTGAACCCTGATCTGTCAACAGGGACAAAACCACCCGATGATTGGCTTAGTGGTGCAGTTAGCAGAGCTTAGCTCCTAATGAGAGTCTGTCTAGAAGATGTACAATCAGAACAGGTGTGGAATGCTTGCTACGTCAACAACTTGATTGCTGGCGTTAGTTTGCTCACAAACGAGCATGTTGGGAGCTGATAAGCACGTGTGCATAAGTGAAAGCAATAATGTGTGTCAGTGAAAGGCAAAGGAAGAGGCAGAGCGCCGTCTGTCCGTTTCAGGTACTGTAAACAGGTGATTTTACGGCCTTTGTGCACAGAGTGTGTTTGCATTTCCTCACTTAATATCCTGACTGATTTGCCTCTCCAGGCGGTGCCGCCGTTCCTCCAGCTGCTCGATGGGGCTCTCCTCCGGGAACTCATAGGGAGCACTTCGCATGTCGCTCTCAGCCATAGTGCGTGTGAACAGCTCCTGGTTTAAAACGGAGGTTGGAACATATATGGTTGTTGTAAGAAAATTGTCGATATCTGTGCATCCAGGGACGTAGGAAATACAACGAGGCTTAAACTTAAACCCGTCTGGTTTATTGACACTCAAAACAGATCCAAAAAAGTTCAATCTGGTCCTCTGGACATTCAAAAGAAACAAAACAAAGCAAAAAAAATGTAGAAACGTTTCGTCTTTCATCCGAAAGACTTCCTCAGTCTGAGGTGCTGTATTCAGCTCAGTCTCTTAAATAGCACCTTCTCAGAGTGGATCAACCAGTTTGCTGCTGACAACCAAACTGGTTGCTGCTGACAAACCAACTGGTTGATCCACTCTGAGAAGGTGCTATTTAAGAGACTGAGCTGAATACAGCACCTCAGACTGAGGAAGTCTTTTGGATGAGAGATGAAACGTTTCTACATTTTTTTTGCTTTGTTTTGTTTTTTTTGAATGTCCAGAGGACCAGATGGAACTTCTTTGGATTTTTCTACCTGGATTATTGAGCATGCATCAGGATACTCAAAACAGATGTTTGTAAAGTCTCATATTTCTTGTTTAATTTGGATTTTCCTTCCGTATATGAGGAAATCTTTGTAGAACATTATTAACAATTATATCTACAGAAACCACTAATATGACACTAATCTGGAGTGATTGTTCTTATTTAAATGTCAAATTTTAACAAATTAAAGTAATTATTTAAAAATTTGAAGACGGTTTCTTTAGCAAAGTTATGAACAGTTATTATCTTACCTGTTGTAGATATTTCTTTGAATGACTTAAGTGTGGAGAAATAGTTTAATGAGAGTTTAATGATGACCAGATTGATGAGCTAATGGCTAGTCAGAATGGAGCAGAGATATTATCAACTCCAATCTCAAAGATTTTATAGAAGTTCAGGTAAATGTCCTGGATGAAGCTACATTACCATCAGTTTAGTTATTCAGTCAAGTTACTCCAGCACAATTTTCCAGCCAGAATGTTCCAGCAGTGCTACAGCTACCTGCTGCTGCACCTATTTGTGCTTGCACAAACCATGGATTTCTTTGCAAATAACAAATAATGTGAAATTGATGTTACGTAAACATTTTTAAATTAGTGTTTGCATGAATTGCTAGATGTCTCTTTAGATTCGAGTTGTGTTAAATCGGCAACGCTCGGACTAGCCGGTAGCTCTTTAGCCATTTCTCCAAACTGAGGTCAATCAAAGAATTATCTACAAGTAAGATAATAATTATTCATAACTTTACTACTATTACCCATTTTCAGATTAACCTATAATTATTCAATATGTTTTACTAAGGTAAATTATAATTTTTTTTAAAAAGTGTCTCATTTCTAGTTCTCACCTCTGCAATCTCTTTGAATTTTTCCTCCATGGATGTTCGCAGGTCGACTGGGTATTGCGAGTGAGAAACCGGTGTCCCTGGAAGAGATCGCTGAGGCTTGAAGGGTTTTGACCCAGACCCGCCACCACCGTCTGTAAGGATACACAGGAAGGAGCTATGGCACATGACATGTGGTGTGGAGTGAGCCGTAACATAAAAACAGCGTTCCACGCACACCACCCTGTGTTAAGGCACACTCAACCCATTAAAACACATTGTGTTTACAAAAAGAATGAACTGCGTGTAAAAAGCAAAATAAGCAGATAACTGAAGATCAGTGACTAAATATGCAAACACAAACATACTTTTTACAAGGTTACAATCAGAAACAGAATAAAATAATTTATATTTGGTTTACTAAAGAAGCGCGAAGTTCAAAGTTGGAAATGAAAAGTGGGTCCAGAAACTGTGGATTAGCTACGCCGAAAAGTAACATCAGCTAAGAAAAGTTACAGTTATTCTGTGCAGACATAACAAGCCTCTGCAAACACAGAGGTCTCAAAGTGGAGCAATCCTTGACCAAAGAAAAAAAATCCTTTTCAAAAGTTAAAAAAAAAAAAGGTTTTTATCTCAATCATCCAGGTAGATAAATTAAAAAAATAAAAGGTTAAATGATGTCATCTGGACAAGTACTTAAAGGGAGAAACTGAAAACTTCAAAGAACATCAGCTGAAGTGGCGTGAGCAATCAGCTGGAAGTTAATCTCTAGTTAAAGTAGCTACAACTTGTGTTTGAAAAAGAAAAATGCCAATGAAATGTACTTTTTTTTTTTTTTAACTGTACTGTAGGTGAAAACGCCCGACAGAAAAGAGATGAGGACAGCTCCTAATTAAACTCAAAGACGGCGGTCTGCTCCGTCCACTGCGACACTCAGTCTAACATTTTCTTTAAGACGGTCATGCTGTTTAAACAGAACCATAGTTAAACCATCAAACACAGTAATTCAGTCATGTTTTTAGTTTTGGGAGTGGTGCGCTCTCAGAGATTGGAGTCGTCATTGGTTGGTGCCGTGTCTGGCTGCAGACAATTAGTGTCAGCTTCTAACATGAGCAGAAAATAACTCCACAGTTTATTAAAGTGGGATTTTTATGTTGCATTCAGATGCAACTTAAAATAAAAACCTCCATTTGAGTTTCGGTGCTGATAAATTTACTGGAATGGGGTTCTGTACAAAGTTTATGAGTAGTTATTATGTCACCTGTTGGGGATGGTTGGATTTGTGCGTCGACTGCTAGGCTGAGCCGAGTGAAACTAAAGTAGACCGCTGCTGTCTTGAAATAATTCACAATGGACCAAAGTTCATGCTCATTAATCCAGGTATAAATCCAACAATGTTCGGTCAGGTCATCTGGACGGTTTCTTTTGTTGCTGAGACGTTTCATCCTTCATCCGAAGGACTTCTTCAGTCTGAGGTGTCCACCAAACCAAACTGAATCCCACAAACAGCTCACTCCCAGAGTGTAACAAACCAGTTTGCTGGTGATAAGATGGCCTCCAGGGTCCGCCCTCTGCCCCATCAACTCCCCCAAGGCAGACCAATGGAGTTGTTTTAAGACGCTGCAATCCACTTTAGTCTTGACCCCTCTCAGCCTAGCACACTGAGGCTAACAGGTTAGACAAAAATAATTCCTTTTAATAAAACCCCAACTTCAAAAGAGCTGAACTATTACTTTTGTAGTGTGTGGTGGTGACTTCACCTATGAAGATGTACACCTAATCAGCATCAATCCTGCTAATCTTTTAATCTCTAAGAATTTCCATCAAAACATCCTGTTCCAGTAAAACCCAGCTCTTTTTGCCTCAGTGGACTAATTTAAATGAGTGACACAAACCTTACATAAACTTTAATAATAATAAAAAAAGACACAAAAGAGAACATTACCAATTGTTGTTAGAGTATGCTGGCACACAGGTTGGCCTTCCAGTCTGCAGTATTGCCTCAGATAAGATGTCTACGCAGGGGGTGGGTCCGTCTTATTTAGAACAAAATGTCTCGACCCTTTATTGTCATGATATCAGCAGAAACTCACCTCCTACACAAGCAGGTTATATTGACAAAACTGTCCATCTTATCGTTGTGTCACATTCCTGAGACCTGAGTCTGCACACCGCCTACGTGATCAATAAGCATCTGTGCAGCTGCCTCTGCTCCACAAGGACCAATACAGTTTTTATCATCTGCATTGTGCTTCCATCAGCAGTCTAACTTGGACAGTGAGATGCAAGATCAAGACTGTTCAGAGCATTTGCCACAACTTTATTTAGATTCCAACATTGAAATATGGAATCTGATTTGAATATTTGATTTCTGCACAGAAATCGGTGGGGGTATTGAACTTTATGAACACTGTCAAAGAAATGATGCTTAGTCCAGTTAGACCTGTGACACATTATCTTACTGTGTAAATGTTGCAGTAACACGTCATGATTTGCAGCGGTCTTCAAACACAAGGAGGTAAAAAGAAAACTTTTACTAAACATCCATCTTTCTTTGTAACTGGTGTGAATTTACCGATTGATTTTAAACTAAATAAGTCATAAAATGTTGACTGCATGACAAAAAAAAACTGTAAAGCAACTCTGCCGCTGCTCGTCGTTTTCACAGGACTGCAGCAAACGGTCAGCTTTCACTAAAAACCCTCCACTGTTACTTTGTATTTTAACTCACAGTGTATCTTCTCTGCTGGGTGGACGAATGCTAAAGACAAAGTAGTCCTACAAATGAACAAATGGCAACATGTATAAGCTTATGTATCACAACAGAATAATGACAGTGGTTTGTTTCCACCTTCTATATTCTCTACACCTCCATGATGGCACTTTTATTGTGCTCCAGTTTGAACTGTTTTGTATCAGTTTTCAAACTAAGAGGTTCTGATTTAATTAAATGTCTGTAAGATCTACTACCAAAGACCTCACACAACCCTCTGTTATATAATCCAATATATCCCAGTCTTGGCTCTGCTCCAAGCTGACTAAGTCAAAATTCATAAAAGAAATATAATCATGTTTATACTTGGATCAAAATGAACAAAATGTGTGTCTATTTTCTGGCAATCAAGCTAAAGAAAATCAACAAAATAATTTAAAGCTCACTATGGGACATCATGATAAAGCAACAATACCATGAAATAAATTAAGTGATCTTTAAATCCACTTTGACATGTTTCAATAACACTTGGTCATTTTTTGTTACAGTTTTACAACAAAAAAGTTGAATTTCTATGAATCCATCCATCCATCACTTTTACCTATTTCTTCCTTAGACACAGAGACAAACAAGACAACAATTCACTCTCTCTCACACAAAGGACAATTTAGAGTTATACCAATCAGTCTAACATGCATGTTTCTGGTCTGTGGGAGGAAAATGGAGAACCTGGAGAAAACTCACGCATGCACGGAGAGAACATGCAAACTCCACCCAGAAAGGTCTCTGGCCGGGATTCGTCCTAGTGACCTTCTCTCTGAGAGGCGGCAACTCTTCCAACTGTGCCACCCAGTTTTACAAGTTCTATTAAATTTAACAAAATCCACAATAAAATAATTGTCAAAGTGTGTAACAAACTGCTGACATTTTTCTCAGCTCTAGATGTTACAATTCAGGACTAGCTCTGTGTCGACACATGTAACGTTCAAACTTTCTATCAGCTTGGTGTAAGCCACAACACAAATCACAGACAGAAATCTGTTAAAGGCTGTCTAGATCTGCAGAAGTGCTGGACTGGACTAAAACAAACATGAGAAGTCGTCTACAACAAATTTGAAGCCATGTTTTTCCAGGGTTGTGATGCAAAACTCAGCACTGCATGTACAAAGGGGAGTCCCTTTATAGTTTTGGTGACAGAGGCTCCAGTAAAAGTTCAGCTTTTCTTTACAGATTGTAGTTTAGTCACTGAAAGACAGAACGGAAACTCGAGCTGCAGGTGTTCCTTAGCAACCACAGATGAGAATAAACCTCTAGTTTGTGTCCACCTCTTAAACATCAGATTCCATTATTCAGAAATGGAAAACCGCAAAAATAAAACTCATTGAACCTAAAGCCAATAAAGTCACTTCTGAACAGTTAGAATTGCATTTAGCTGGAAGGAGAGATAGTTCTGTAAATGTTTACTATGTAGTTGATAAACTGTCAGTTTTATTTGACATAAATAAGATGAGGCGGAAGCAGTGAGCATGACATAAAACACTAGGTAAAGAGTATTATCACAATGATCCTGAAGCTCAGCGTGCTCATGGGTACTGAAAGTGAGAGCTCAGCGGCGCAGTGTGATGCTCACACAAGCTGCCTGAGGGGTACATTCTTTAAGAAGATGCAAGTCTTCTCCTCCGGTTTCAGCTGCAACAGTTCAGCTGTAGACACGCTGCTGCATCAGACTGAACTGGAACAAAAAGCAGGAAGGACTTTGTGCTCCTAAAACGTTAAATGAAGCAACTAATCTGTCAATTCTTTTTTTTATAAGACCCTGTTTGCATTCAGCATGTTAACACCTACTCTCTTCTTTCTGTCACTATAAAGCCTGTCTGTACAGTATTCTGGAAGTGATAAATATCCAACACGGACCTGCTGAAACTTCTTAGAAACACAATATTCATACTAACCAAAGCTGCACTGTTTGGGATTAATCATCATAGGTTACAGTACCTCTGTCTGCTCTCACAGTCTCCTGTACGGTTGCAGAGCTCCTGCAGGATGCTGGGACATAAAACTAGGCCTGGGACAGTCAATGCACCCTCCCCCGCTGGTACAGTGGAAGACAGAGAATGACAGCAAACAGACACCGCACATACTCTGTTAAAACACCATCTGCTCTGACAACCGGGGCTCTCACAAGCGCTCTCTTTTGTCTTTGCTCCTCCTCCTGTAACTGTCGTCACCTCCAGTGCGATGCCAAAACCAGAGAGGGTTTTTTTCCCCACCTCTTCTTTCCTCTGATTCTGTGTTGGGAGCTGCTTCCTGGATTGCACCGGTTTTCAGTTCATGAACAGCACAACCTTCAAGCTCCCGGATTTAAATACTGGGTTGGAACATACCACGTGGCAAACAGGGGGACGGACCAGGGTGAATCACTTGATTCTGTAAAATGGAGGAGGCTGAAACTGGTCACTCCCACTTCCTCTTTGCCCCTCACTTCTCTCATTCATGACACTTAACAATCAACCTTTATTTATACAGGTAAATCCCATCGAGCCTCGAGGACTCATTTACAAGAGAGACCTGATTTCAACAAAGAAAGATGACAACAATGGACAACAGCAACAACAATAAACAGTTACAAAAAGTCATACTGCAGGTTTTTTTTTTTTTTTTTCAAATAGGATGGCTAAAAGGAAAAGGTAACAAAAAAAAAAAAACAGCTAGATTCTAAGGCGAATGTAGAAAACTAAAAACAGGAACATGTCAGCATTGGTCCCTGCCAGGAGTCCAACAGATTCTTAAAGCCACTTAGAGAGGTCAAGGTCGAGAGCTTCAAATCTTTTTGTAAGATATTCCAGGAAACAGGAGCGGAGTAGGAGAAGGCCCTTTTGCCAAGTTCAGTCCTCACTGAGGGAACACTGCAGGTAATAATGTCCTGTGAGCGCACGCCGTAGCTGCACTCACGCAGAGACATGTAGGAGGAGATGTATGAAGGCAGCAGACCAAGAAGTGATTTAAAGATGAAAATATACCAGTGAGAGAGTCTGCGTGAAGTTAATGATGTCCAGTTAACCAGTGAATACAGGGTGCAGTGGTGGGTACGGTAGTTACAGCCAGTTATGAATCTTGTGCACCATGATAGACAGCATCCAGCATCTGCAGGGTTATATTACTTATGATTATCTCATGACTCTAGAGTTGTGAATAAAGACATATGTTTTGACGTTATTGTGTTTCTCTCGTGCTTCTTTCTCTAAAGGAAAGTTTCGATGCATTCGTTTTTGTCAAACTGCGTGTCTTTTTCATTTTCACAAAACCAGGAGATACCACAGCAAGATGTGTATCAGAAAGCGTGATTACATCTCACCGGATGTTGGTTTGTGTTCGCAATCAAATGTAAGAAATAAAAACCTGATGTGGTGTTTCTCCATCGATCACGTGATGCCCCGAGGAGCCGATTCAGATTGATGCGGCTAAATTTAAAGCAGAATCAACGAGCGCACAAAACACGAAACTTCCTTGAAGTGAACGAACGAATATCAACAAGCCATGAATACCAGAAAGAGCCTTACTTTTAGAGCGTTATACACAAAAGCCAAAAAAAAAGGTTTCTGTAGTTTCCAGTAAAGTAGCTTAGTGACATTTAGAAATGATTGCATGAACCATGATGTAAGTATGACCCCACATACATATTGAGACATCTGCAACTTGATCAGCAGAACAAGCATCAACATGTCAGTAAAACCAAAAAAGGATTTATTGCAGGGAAGGATTTTTTTATTTTAATTGTTTATTGAGTTTACCTTCTGTTCAAATTTACAGATATGTAAAAATGTCTTGACTGAGGACGTCTGATTTTAACTCTCCACTTTGAAACCACCAAAGTGACAAACTATTTCAAGTGTGATGATGTTAGAAAGATGGTGATCAATAAAATGGAGGCGAGACCTTCCCAAACGCATCCCATACCCATAACCAAACCTCCCATAACACACAAACTCTTACAGGGGGTTTTCAGAACCCCAGTTTTCACAAAAACATAAACCCAGTGCTGCTTCATCCTTCTCATTCAGAGATTAAACAGAATCAATGCTGAAATGTGGCAGAATTACCTTTAACGTGTTTTTTGCCAACTTATGTACAGCACAGTGCAACAGCTTAGTTTTATATCAAAAAGTGTTGTCCTGTACTGAGGCATCTAGAATAGCCTCAACCTGAGATGAAGAGAAGCCAACACAAGTTTGCTGAACTTGAGCCTTAAGATATCGGACTTTCTCCATCAACATTTCTCCTTGGAGCTAGCTAGGCCTGTCGCAATAAACAATAAATCAATTAATCGCATGATAAATGAAAATTATCGACCTCATTTTCATTTCTTGGCTTTATCGTTTCTTCGTGTCTCTCTTTCTACTGAAGACACTGGATGACAAAAAGCTCAACTCTGCTCTTCACTGACCCCTCCCTTTCTCTTTTCTCTTTAAAATCTGTTTTAACCGTCCAAAATCACGTTTTTGGATCGTTAAAAGCAGCTAAGCTGAGAAGCTAAGCTACGAGCTAAGCTAAGAGGCCGACTTCGGGAAAAAATCTCTTGTCAAAGCTCCAAAATTCACAGTTGAAACCTGTGCCTTCGTCTAAAAAGTTGTTTTTCTCTGCAAAAGAAGCTGAGAACTTGTTTACTGATTTTTTTAATTAAAAGCTTTGTGTGAAAAATGCTATGCTAAAGAGCTCAAACCACATCAAGCGTCTGTCATTTTGAAAACCGAAAAACAGGAACAAGAGACAGCCCATGTCACGTCAAGGGGACTCCCTCCCATTTTTCTTAAAGAGACACTGCTCGCTCCCTCACTATCCATCCATTGGCTCAAACTATCTTGTACTTCCATCCAGTGGTCAAAAAAAGGTACTACACACAAATTAACCAACATTTCTTCTTAAATTTGACAATGATGACTAATTATTGTCAAATTTCAAACAATATTACTGTTTATCGCAATAATTTCTGAGACAATTAATCGCCCAGCAAAATTTGTTATTGTGACAGGCCTAGTTGGAGCAACTTTTTAATTCCAGATATAGAAGAACAACTAAAGTTAAGACTTTGTACAGCTGTGCACAGACGTGTTTAATAATATGGATCACAGCATAAAGGCTGAATAAGTTTTCCAGGTAGCAAAAATATCCCCAGCAAATGTAATATTATGATTTAAATCATTCAGTAAGAGAATCCTTTGCACAAACTTTAGTTTATTAGATTTTATTGTAGATATTGCACAGAATGCATCTGCTGACGGTATAAGGCCAATATTTGCATACATGTCACTTGACCCAACTCTATTTTCTCTGAGCTGCCAGGTTTAAATCACCATAACAAGTGGAAATATCAGTTATTGGTTTATGTTTTTTAAATACGAGAAATGATACAGTAAAGATAGAAAATAGGTTGTGAAACATTTTAAGAAAGAAAGTGAAATTTCTACATGTTTCCTAACTGGACTGGAACCAGTCCTATACCAGCCTATAATGTATATGTGACCTGAGCTGGCAAAATGAGTCAGAATGAGCACAGAAAAATCTTTAACAGAGAAATATTTGCCGTAATTGAGATTTGCATAAATTTTAGTTCATACAGACACCACCTAGCAATCCCAGTAACTAATTATCAACTAATATTCCTAATTTACCTTTGCTTTAAAGTTTTCTAACAGTATGTCTTCATAAATAATCCTTTGTCTTATAACTCTTATAATTTCCTTGGAAATGGAACATTTTTCTCTGCAGACTGTCATAGCACCAGGAAATCCCTTCATATAATGTTTGGCATCATTGCCGAGCTTGGGGATTCCTCTTTTTAAATATATTGCTTTCCTGATTACATCATTCCAGACCAATAAAAATGAAGCTTTTAAACTGACACTTATCAACAAAAATAGCTTTTTGTCAGGCCAAGTGATAAATTGACAAATTACAAAAAAAAAAAAAGATTATTTTGAAGTTTCTGAGATGGCAGATTTGAAAATAATAGTACAGTAACTCAATGCTTTTTAATTCCTCATTTTGCTAGCGCAGATCTTCTTTTTTTTTAATAAAACCTTGTCCTAATTTGTTAGATTTGTTTGTTAGCTTTCTATTTAGAGCCTGAAGAGAAAAATAAGTCACTGCAGAGCATAAAAATCACTGATGGTGCGACTTAACAAAATAAAATCAATAAGAAGGGATCAGTTTACAGTTACAAGCTAGGAATAAGCTGCTGCAAAAAACACGTAGAGTAAGTTGCATTTTTATATTCCTCAAAAGCAGAACGGTGTGTTTTTAGTTTTCATGATCTTCGATGGAGCCTCGTTGTTTCTACGTTTTTCTTTTTCCAAACCAGCAATCAGCCAAACAGGAGAGAAACTGTACTCAGCTTTCTGAAAGAGGCCCACGAGAGCTGGCTTTACCGTTAACAACACTGTCCTGCAATCTCAGCAACTCAAGGAAATTCCCATGTGCTGAAAACAAAACAGACAAACATTCACATGTGGACTGATGGTGGGATTTCTCTTCCATTAGTCCACCAGGAGTGTCCTTGTAGAATAAGTTGTCTTTGGAGACAATTAGATGCAAACACACACACAAACAATACAATACTGACACACACAGCCTGATAAAGAAAACAGAAATACACACTCGTTTTCACTTTCCAGTCCTCTGCGACACTCCTGACCAGATATTGTCACCTCTGTCTGTCCAGCTCTCACCATATCTGAATATAGCAAAGAGGCACTCGTGTCACTTGACACTGTCAACATTTAACTCTACTTGTGCTTGACCAATACCCGGGGCGCCAAAAGGACAATATCCCACCACTGAGATGAAAGGATGTCAAGGATTAAAGGATAAAAAGCCTTCTCTAACGTGTGTTTCGGTTTTACAAGCTTTAATATAGACTCATACACACAAGTCAAACTTCAGGTAATTTGGTGAAAACACTGTTATAAGTACAATGTGTTTAAACCAATTCAAAACCTGAACTTCTTACTGGACATGTATTTATTACATTTATGTCTACCATTTCCCCGAATATTTTGATTTGTGGTGACAACTACAAAAGTAAGAAAAAACACAAAAGTGAATAGTTTGTCTTTATAAGGAGAAAACTTCTGAGATGAGGAACTTGTGAGACTGAGAGAAGGCAAAAAAAAGTCACAGTGCAGCCGGACAGAAACCCAGACGTTTTCATCATTCAGGAGCGAGATTATAAATGGTCTCAGATTATGAACATTTAGGTTTATATTTAGATTTTAATCTTAGTTTAAAGGTTAACAGAAAACAAGTTTTTTTTTTTCCTAAAGGTAAAGTTAAATTAATTATATTTCAGATTTATTAGATATTTACTTTTATGTGAGGCCGGAAAACTCTTTTCACCCAATGGCTATGTCATATAGTTCTATATCTATGCTTCTTTAATAAGAATGTTATAACTGAACTTAGGTCCCTGGTTCAAACCCCGGTCCGGGGGCCTTTCTGGGTGGAGTTTGCATGTTCTCTCCGTGCATGCGTGGGTTTTCTCCGGGTACTCCGGTTTCCTCCCACAGACCAAAAACATGCATGTTAGGCTGATTGGTAACTCTAAATTGCCCCTAGGTGTGAGTGAGAGAGTGAATGGTTGTTTGTCTCGTTTGTCTCTATGTGGCCCTGTGATGGACTTGCGACCCGTCCAGGGTGTACCCCGCCCCTCGCACAGTGATTGCTGGACATGGGCACCAGCGACCCCCGTGACCCAAAATGGAATAAACGGGTAAAGAAAATGGATGGATGGATAACTGAACTTCTGAGCCTTATTACATCAACCATTGGGCCAACATGGGAACACTTACATTTGACTTGTTTTTATGGTAAATGGACTGTACTTATACAGCCTTTCTATCTAATCAAGATATTCAAAGCGCTTTACAACACAATCTGTACCCTCATTTACCTCCACACACACATCCATACAGCGCTCTACTACATCTCTACAAAAACTTATCAGTGCTTTGATATCACATACAAACGCCGATGGGACATACATCTGAGGCAATGAGGGGTTCAGTGTCTTGCCCAGGGACACTTCAGCATGTGACTGATGGTGGAATCGAACCCCCAACTCTCCCATTGGAAGATGACTGTTCTAACCACTCAACCACAGCTGCCCCAACATTTTTATGACAATAAATTTCCATTTTCCCCATTCCAGATGAATAAATCACAATAGGAGTACTGCATACAATTATATACCTGTAAACAAAACTGTTAAACTGACATTGAGCAATTTATAAAAATGGCCCGGACAAGCAAAGCTCTTGCATAAGCCTTGACCTTAACTGTGACCTTGACCTTGGAGTTGAGGTAATGAAAAGTGTACACAACACTCTATCTAGCAATGATGCATATGCGTATGAAGTTATGGGCAGGACAAGGGAAAAGTTTACCAAATGATGGAGACTACACTAGAATACACTTGCCTTTCAACAGGCATATAATTTTTGTAACAAATAATAATATTACCAGCAGTGATTTAAAGAACAGCTTGCCAGTTGTTATTAAAACCAGTCAACTGTCTCACTGAATGAATGCAGCAACGCCTGTGTGGGATTTACTACAGATCTGAATGTTTAACTTAATGAGTTTAATGTTTGAGAATGTTTTCATGATGAGTGAGAATCTGATTACAGAGATCGATAATGGCATAAAGATGTGGTAAACACATGACTCTGTGGTGTGCTGAGGTCAGAAGCCAGAAATGATAAATATATAAAGCCAGCAAGATTGTCTGACACTGGTTCATCAGTGATCAAATGAGGTGGATTAAGTGAAAGAGGATCTTTGTTAGGAGCCACAATGGGAACAGAGACAGACCAAAGCAGAGTACTTAACTGTCCCTCAGCAGTGAAATACAACCCATCATAACCATGACTGTATTGGAGCTGTTCATCTAGCAAATCACTCCCGTGAGAGATAAAGTTAAGTGCACCTGCTGTGGATTTGTGTGCGTACTTCTGTTGGTTTAAGGTGGATGTTGTGGTGGAGCCTTCAGCATCAAAAGACCCACCTGTTGGTGTGACGGTTTACGAGGCCTTGGTTACCGGCTCTACATAAGCCCCCTTTTCCAGAACTGACAATATACATACGAAATAACCTAACTATTATTAGCTAAAGAAAGCTGTGGAATTTTCCACTCAAACACAGAGCTGATCCTCGATCATGTCTGACTGAAGGACGGGCAGAGAGCAGAGGCACCAACAAACTACCACTGGTTTTAAAGTGATGCAGTGGCATAATGCTTTCATCTCAGAGCTTCCCTCTGGTGGTGAGACGCTACAGTGAGGAGAAATGCTTACTCAAAAATGATACATAAATAAGAAGATTTCTATATATAAATGAGCATGGCAAGTTTTAGACATGGTTTAACTGATGTGTTGGGCAATTTTTTTTTTTTTTTTTTGCCTTTTTATTCTATCACCTATCCGAAAACTTCCTCACACAAAAACAACAGATTTGTGCAGGAGGATGAACAAATAATATGTTGTGGTGTTTTTTTCCTGCAGTTACTGTCCACTCTCATGCTTCCCAGAGGGAGACTTTAGCTGGAAATACACTCTGGAATACAAAACAGGGTGAGAGGAGCAGCATTTGAGCCAAGGAGACAGGACATCCATCCTTTATCTTCTGCTTGTTCTGAAATCGGGTCGCAGGGGCAGTAGCTTGAGAAGGGAGGCCCAGACATCTCTTTCCATAGCCACCTCTTCTAGTTCTTCTGGGGGGAGTCCAAGGCATTCCCATGCCAACTGAGAAACATAGTCTCTCCAGCGTGTCCTGGGTTTTCCCCGGGGTCTCCTCCCAGTCGGACATGCCCGAAGCATCTCCCTAGGGAGGCGCCCAGGGAGCATCCTTACCAGATGCCCGGACCACCTCAACTGGCTCCTCTCGATGTGGAGGAGTAGTGGTTCTAGTCTGAGTCTCTCCCAGATAACTAAACTTCTCACCTTACCCCTAAGGGAAAGTCTGGCTACCCTGTGGAGGAAACTCATTTCAACCGCCTGTATCTGCAATCTCATTCTTTCAGTCACTACACAGAGCTTGTGACCATAGGTGAGGGTAGGAACGTAGACTGACCAGTAAACAGTGAGCTTTACCTAACAGCTCAGCTCCCCCTTCACCACAACGGGCCGGTACAGAGTCCGCAATACTGCAGACACTGGGTGTGGGGTGGGTGAGGTTCTGCCTCAATTGCAGGTGTTCCAAGTATCTCGGGGTTTTGTTCATGAGTGAGGAAAGAAAGGAGCGTGAGATTGGAGACAGGACATGGTGTATGGAAATTGTATTTCCTTTGAGAACGGTGGATAAAACTTCCCATTGGCCATTTTTGTGCTACTATCAAGTGTATTTGAACTCATCACGAACATCAATAAGCAAGTGTAAACCATTAAGAAAACTACACTGCCTGGCCAAAAAAAAAAGTCGCCGCCTTGATTTAACTAAGCAAATAGGCACGAGCCTCCTATTGGAAAGTTACTGCATGGGTGATTATCTTTCAGCTGGCAACAAGTTATTTAACCTCAACTGGTGCAATGAGTTGCTTTTCATTTCTTAAACAACCATGTTGAAAGACGCATCGCGTCATTCAATTTGCTAGGGAGCATAAAGATTTGACACTGAAGCAATAGAAGACGGTCATGTGGTCTGATGAGTCCAGAGCGATGGGCACATCAGATTAAGAAGAGAGGCAGGTGAAGAAATGACCCATCACGCCTAGTCATTAATGCAAGATCTTGGTGAAAAATTGCAACACTGGATGGAAATAGATCTTGTGACATTGCAGAAGCTTATCGAAACAATGCCACAGTGAACGCATGCCGTAATCAAAGCTAAAGGCGGTCCAACAAAATATTAGTATGTGACCTTTTCTTTTTGGCCAGGCATTGTAAATTCTAATCTAATAATATGCAGTTTAAAACAGAACTGTGTTGTTCAGGGGTTGTGGAAAAGCTAATATTTGCTTGTTACATGAGGTTTGGGTCTTCAGCAGAGTCAGGAAGCATCAAGCAACTTCAGTGGACTAAGATAGTCCTGGCACAGAGACTACAATACAAGTTGGTCAGCTTAAAATTTCCATGGTAGCTCAGGTTATGGCAGGTCATTGTATCATATAATCAAACCACACTTCTATCCATACATTTTTTTTTGGTCCAATAACAGTATTGCTTCCAGTCAATATTACATCTATATTAGTTAGAATACACATAAAAAAATTCTAAAAATCAAAAATTACATTTCACGATCTCCATGAGTGAGGATGTATTAACAAAAAATAAGTTTTTAATAACTTTTTGAAGTCAACCAGATCAAAGATGGCGGACACAACTAATTGACGTTAGCGAACACACACAAGTTTAAATTCTGCCAGTTTTGACTTGGAGCTGGTTGTAGATGAGAGTTGTTCCTAACATCTACTCTGAGCTCTGACAGATCGTACAAGACTGCTTAAAACTTTGGCACGCAAGGTAGGACAATATTCATTGCTCGCTACTTTTGTTTGAAATAGTAAATAAATATCTACAGTGAGCACGTTTCTCAAATGTAGCTGTATCCAAAATGTCCCGGTCACAGTACCAGTCAAAGATTCAAAAATACAAAAAGTTGTACAAAAGGTTGCTGTAAAGGAGGGATTTAATTTTCTGTGGGTTTAAGACGGACCAGTACCATAGAACCAGCAGACAGCAAAGGAGTTGCTGTATCTTCACCTCTCCGACAGATACTTTAATAACTTCTAATCGAAAATGTTTTTTTTTTTTTGTAATGTTTGAAAGATACATTTGAAGAGAACACAGCAACTGATTCATGAGAGGAAATATGCAGCAGAGCCGATTTTGATGAGGTTACAAGAAGTAACAAAGCACGTATTGTTGTATTGTTTCATGACTTGTTAAAAACTCCATTTTCGGTAACTCCAGTAGATTAGATTTTTTTTTTCAAGTTTAATTTGCTAACTGGGTGATGTAATCAGATGGAAGTAGGCTACATGTGGTGCACAGAACAGACTGAAGTGCACAGACAGAACTCAGCCAAGCGGTTAATTGAGAGGACTTAAACGGCTGCATGGATGGAGAGACTTCTAAGTTATTTATCACTGCAGCAAAACACAAGCTTCCTCAGAAGAAACTGTACAGTGTGTGTCGGTGTGAACTACTGCTGCATAGAAGCTGTGGCATCCCCTAAAATGCTCAATATTTGCACAGAAACAAGGCACATGACACTTTGAATTGAATCGATACCAATAAACAAACACTGGATCTGCTACTGCGACCCATATTTTACTGCACTAACTCCCAACATCACTGTGACTCAGAATAACCCACAAAAGGCCAGTCACATACAAACATATATCCCAAAACGTTAAAGCAAAAACCTGATTTCCAGACAAATTTAACAAATAAATCACAATTAAGGACGCAGCTGTCAAAACTGCACATAAAAAACTGTGTTTAAAACCAATTTGTTTGATAAATTGTTTTATTCCCATCATCCAGAGGCTGCTCTCACAGTCAAAGCTTATCGGACTCGTTCCACAGGAGCCATTGTTAAAATAATCGGATTACAATCTTGTGAGGTAAACTAATCACTGGATCAATGAATGTCAAAGTACAGAAAGGTCAAAACCAGATTAAAACACACTCAAAAGCAAATATATTAGTTTAAAAATATGCTCAAACTTTCAAGATTTCATAAAAGAATAAATTATTTCAATATTGTTGTTCATATAATCTAAAATGACATGCTTCTAAAGCAAATTGCTCAGCTGTTTTATTCCCATCATCCAGAGGTTACTCTCACAGTCAAAGCTTATCAGACTCATTCCAAAAGGCCGGGTGATGCTTCAATAATGAGCCACATAAAGTCAAATGCATGATTAAAAAATAATCGTTTACCTTTAAATGTTTGTACAATTACCACATTAAAATGTTACACACTGCAAAATTACTATCCGTATGTGACACACAGTACAGTGACTATTAAAATTTGCACGTATTACCAGAAAGCTCAGTTTCCTCCGTATTTGTGTTAAAAGTAATGGTTGGAATAAATGCAGAAGTGTGCTGTGTGATGAACCCTAAAGCTTCAACCTAAATTACCCCCTGCTTCAACCACAGATACAACAGAATGAGTAAATCATATTTATAGAGATGATCCCCATCCTACTTGTTTATCTACCTGTACCAGGATGTGCAGCGTGAGTTCCTAAATGTACAGCAGTGTCACCATGAGAGTTTTCTTGGGACGGGACCCTCGTTCATCAACACTCACCGGGGCTGGGGGTGCTCTGCAGGCTCCCTCTCTTGTGAAACTGAGATTTAGGTTTAGTCTTTCCTGGTCCATCGCTGTTGGAGGTGGAGGACGACGACGATGAGGACATCTTAACGTTTTTGTTACTACAGTAGCAGAGTGAGTCAGAGCTGCGAAGTGACCAGCAGAGGGAGGGAGGAGCGCCGGCTCTGATGTTTGAGCTCTGTCTCATGGTGGGGCAGTGGAGTAGCGGGAGCCATAGCGGGCTGCTAAAGGCTCCACGGCAAAATTGGCTCCTCCTCCTCCCAACCCGCAGCAGGTCAGCAGACATGCTGCACAGCGATGCGCTGAAGTGCCGCCCGAGGCTGTCCCGACTCCTGCAGGGGAACATCCTCCCTGGTTGCCCTAGCAACCAAGGAATAAGTTTCCTGTAGCCAGCGTGGTAAAATACAGCCACAGAGGGGGGCATTTTAAAGCAAAGCGTGTCGCTAGCATGACAGCCAGCAGGCCTGCTGACCAACTACACCCCCCCACCCACCAGCTGAGTGCAGAGGTGGACGAAGGACAAAAGTTTTTTTCCCACTTGTCTAAAATTAGCAGATAGATTCGCTAAAGACCATGAGAAAGTTTCTGTTTAGCAAAGAGTGGAAACAAAAAAAAAATGTAAAAATACAATCCAGATGAAGAGCAGTAGACCAAAAAAATAAGCCAGAGAAAACAGAGTGGATTAGCTCAGAAACCAGTTTAGAGTGTAAGCTGACGAGTGAACTGTGTCTCTTTGCTGCTGGAAAATTCTGAGGGGGAGACTGACAGCCTAAACACACACACACGTGCACGCACGCATACACACACATACCCTCTTACAGCAGGAATTATAAATAGTGAAAGCCAGCACGCAGGACGGTAACACAACCTATGACAAGCGACAGTAAGAACTTTTTACAGCCACTTCGCTTATTGTCACACTTTACTGATTATTTCCTGCTCTCAGCACACTTCCCACCAAATTAAAAAACATTTCACAACCCGAAAAGTTGAGAACAAACCACAGATCACAGCCTACGATTCATTTAGCTGTAATCTGAACGTATTCTTATTCGTTAGGACAAATAAAAGCTGCATCAGTGGAGACAGAGGACTTCAACAACAGACAACATCACTGCCTCTTAAATGTTTGATTACAGTATATTTTTATCCAGACTGTGTGCTGAGTCTAAAAGAAGAGTAAAGATCTCCACCTAGTGGGCTAAAATGATTATGCAGCTGCGAAAATGGGTCTTTTCTGCAGATAACGTGCGTTTGTTTTATTTATACAAACTTAATTCTGCTCAGGCTAAATTTTCATCAGAAAAATACTAAAAAGTTTGTACATGAACTTTGGTTTCATCCTTTTTTATGTTGGTAACTTATCAACTACTGTACGTATACAGGACAGCGTTGCCAACATTCTAACTGTAAAGATGTAAATGTCCATCAATTACTTTGCAATTATTCTCAACACTTGACCATTCAAAATTATTTTTTTCATACCACCATTAAATGACAGACTCAAATCCTGACAGATCCTTGAAGGAACGTGGAATGCAGGTCACCCAGCATATTTCACGCCGAAGGTTTTAGGTCTTCTTATCTTGTAAAACATGGCAGCGCTCAGTGTTGAGGATGACTCTCAACTAAGACCTAATTCACTATGCTGTGTATATATTAAAACATTTTTTAAAAGCTAATCATGTTCTAGAACAAATGGTGGTTTTCTGTCTGACCAAAAAAAAAAAAAAAAGGAACCAGTCCCATAAGTAGCAGCTGAGAAGATTTGGGGAAAAAAAAATCTTGTTTTCGACTGTCTCCAGCCTTTTCTGAAAGCTGACCTAGTTTTCAGAGTCTACACTCACCATCTGGTGCAGCAGCAAAGGCTAAAATAAAACAAAGGCCTGCTTTTGTCCAAAAAAAAAAAACCCTAACAACTCTAGATGTGTCGCATTTTGCAGGTAGTAATACTCGTTACTTACATTCTCAGTGCTGTAGAGGACAGATTTATCAACACAGTTTCTGCCTGTGCTTCTGCTGCCTGCTCAAGGTTTCTGTGTGCTCACACCCTTTCGACTAAAACGAGCCCACTGAGCAAACCACTGGATGCTGAGGGAGTTTTTTCACTCTCTTTTTTTTTAGAGAAATGAAGAAATTCAGCATTTTTGTTTGTAGAGGCCTAGAGCAAGGGGGGAAAACAAACTTGTGCGGTTTTTCTTTCTGCAAGCAACCTCCCCGCAAGTAATTAAAATTGTAAAAACTACCGCACCCCGTTTTATTTTGGACTTTTGACGAACTCAACGAATTAATACTTAAATTGCTGCTTCGGCTGACCATCCAGTACTGACTGGATACATGTTTGTACGCTTTTAATATATACTGTACTACTAAGTATAAGCCTTCTGAATACAGACAAATATAGAGCAGAAAAAGGTTTCACTGGAAGCAGTGAAGAAAGCTTTTGGGCCATAAAATGATCCAAATTTGAGCTAGAAACCAGTACAAATAAAAACATAAAAAGTAAAGCTGCAAAATGTCATTAAATAAAAGCAGAAAGACTGCACTAACTGGATAACAACCACTTGCAGCAGATCAGATATCAACAACAAAACAGCACTGTTCAAATGTTAAGTCACCTAAACATCTTTAATTTGTTTAGAGCAAAAATTCTCCAGACTTTGTGAAAGTTTTAATTTAGACTTTCGCCACTTTTGACTCATTTTCTGTCCAGTCTGTGTCTCTGACCTGCACAGCATTAAAAGCAGCGAGTGTTTTCAAATGAAGTGGAAATCTAAAGAAGTTGTTTCAGACCTGAAAATAAACTATTCACAGCAGATGAACAGTTTCTGAAAGTCAATGAGAAACTGAAGTCCATCAAAGGTCTGAGAAATGTGTCGTCCTTCAGCTGTTAACAGCTAAAGTTAAACATGAAGCCAAAGTCTAATGGAAAACCTCTCCTTTAGAGGCAAATAAAAAGAAAAGATGGACGACTCAAGACTGCACATGATCATTGGACGTCTCTGTTATTGTTAACATGAAACAGTATCTTTCTAATTTCAGCCTTTACAGAAATGTTACATTAAAAAAACAACGCAGTGATCATGTGAACTAAAAATGTACAAAAGTAAACTCAAATTTCTTAACTTCTTAAATTGTCAAGACTAAAAAAAGCTGTAAATCTAAAATATACTTGCCAGAGCAAAGAAAATATGTTTATTTTGCTGTAATGTTAGTTGTATTTTTATAGTATTGAACGTGATTAACATACCTGCTGACATAGTTGAGGACTGCTTTTTTGAGCGGATGAAGACCAAAGAGGCTCAAACAGACAGCGATATACTGAAGAAAATTAAAAAAAATAAAAAATAAAAGTTTAAATAAGTTTCTACAAACAGATACATGCATACACAATCGGCTTAACAGCGATATATGCAACGTTGCCAAGCCAAAATGTAATCTAAATAACTCTAAATGTCGTAACTAATCGGTTAGCGGTTTTCGGACAGGTTAACGGAAAACACCGTTTTCCGAAGCTATCATTAGCATGACAGTTAGCCAAAGTGGTATCGGTCCGCCGGTAGTTACTCTTCAGAGACCCACAAAACTACAAACATGTCCGCACTTTTTGCTCAAAACTAGAAGTAGTAGATGTAAAAAAAAAAAAATACCGTTGCTCTGCTTTGTGGAGTTTTTTGTTTGTTTGTTTAGACGGAAATTGAAGTTTCCTCCTCAGAACGATGAAGTTTTCTTTTTAAAGGAGCCGCCCGCTGTGGGGTTCAAAGGTCGCCAAATGTACTCAAACACACCCCCAGAAACACGGAGAAGATGGAGTCCTGTCAGCCAGATAAGACTTATCTACACTTCAGCTGTAGCTGGATGATAAATCTGCAACACGACAAACATGGCTCCTATTGTTAAAGGCTCATTACAGGAAGTGAAACAGAAAACAGAGATGTCACGAGACCCAGTAGAAAAACTTTGTTGCTTAAACTCAAAAGGTTGATGAATGTTTTTGCCCGTATGTGTGTGTGGTGTCAGCAAAACATCTTAAAAATCAATTAACATATTTTAATTAAACTCAGTAACAGCTGGATGTACAGGGACACGTCAATCTGATTCAAGATGGCCGCCACAGCTACACAAGCAAACATGAAGGAAAAAAGTCTCAGCCAGTTTCACAGATACCCTGCTAAAGCTTTGTGTGTTTAGTCACTCCCAACACACAGTCCAACTGGTTGGGCAATATCTGTTTTTAAAACATTAGCTAACTGTGAATTTCTGTCTGTTAGCAAAATATCTCCTAAATTAATGGATGGATTTTAGTAAAACTCACAGAGAGTAATCATCGGGTGTGGATCAACAGCTGATTAACATTTGAAGTCAACCCAATTCAAGATGGCCACTGCAGCTACTTTACATAGGCCAACATAAAAATGGCCCTACAGCCAATCTTACAAATATTGAGCTAAAATTTGATGTGGTAGTAGCTGAGGGTCATTCTCAGCACACAGCTTTAAGATCTCGCAATATCACTTGATCATTAGTAGAAAAGAGGTGATTTGCAGTTTAGACCTTTAATTGAAGCAGGTTTTATTTTCAACTGCACGCCACAAATATGTCCAAACAAATGTTTCATTTGTTTTCCCAAGAGTAAATTTGAATATAAACTAAAGGACTTTGAACGCCTGGACTGTTATAACATATTTTTATTGAGTGTTATAACTACTAGGTGGAGCTTATCAATGGCTTAATAATTAGATTTACAACATACATTAACTTGTTTGCTCTTATTTAGTCACCGTTTACCAAACTGAGTAATTAACATATACCAAACATACCAAAAATTTTAGAATGTACTTTTGTGAGTTTAAAAAAAAAAGAACTTTAAATTATTTACACATTTTTCCAGGCTAATTTGGTTTATGGCAGTAATGTGATTACATAACGCAGGTGATCTTTTACGTCTAAACCCTATCCATCCACGTAGAGACAAATTCACACTCTCACCTATAGATAAATAGAGTTACAAATTAGCCTAATAGGCACGTCTTTGGGAGATAATCGAGATAAATCCACACATACACTGAGAGAACATACAAACTCCACCCAGAGAGGCCCCGGGCCGGGATTCAACACTGCAACCTTCATACTGAGAGGCAACAACTCAACAGAGCCACTTGTTACTCTTGATAATACACACCTGTGCTGTAAAGAATTAAATTAGATGTAGAACAAATATATACTGTAATAATTACTTGGTCAAATAACCAGCATGTATTTTTCAAAGCAAATAGTTTTTGTTTTTTTTCCCTCCGGACACATCAAGCTGACTCAGCAAGCGCTATTTCAAGACCAAAGTCCAAATCCCAGTTTTAGTTCACTAAAACCTTTGCACAATAGCAAAACCAAGATAACCTGTTCGGTGCATAGAGTTCATAATTTAATTTATTTAAAGTTTACAAATGTCTAAAAAAAGTCCTGA